CTCCTCCCCTGGCAGCCCCAACCCCACTGCAGTCCTCGATTCTCCCTATGAGCATGGATGACTTTAGACGAGGAGCAGCTGGGCCTGGGGGAAGCAGTGGGGGCAGGGTGGTGGCAGCAGGCATGAGCACAAGGGAGCACCTGGCTTCTTCACCTGGGGCTGGTCACAGACATAGCTGCTCTGTGTCCCAGCACGGCTGGTCCAGCTGAGTCCCTGGGTGGCCCTGGCTGAGATAGTCTCTGGACTCCACATCCTTCCACTCCTGCAACGAAGATGGTGATTCTGCCCTTTCAGGTTGTCAGGCTATTAGAATGATGAATGCAAAGTGCTAAACAGACACAGGGCACTGGATAATGACTTGGTGCTGCTAGTTATTGCCTTTACTTCCATCACTAGTGCTAGTTGCTACCTTTAGATGACTTCCGTCACTCGCGCTGGTACCACCAGCACCACCGCTGCTGGTATGTGACGTGGCCAGGAGCCCTTGGGGGTGAAGGGTGTCTGGAAGTAGAAGCTTGAGCAGCTGTGCTGAACCCCAGAGCCCAGTGTAGCCTGTGGCCCGGGCCTTGCGGCGTTGAACGAGGGAAGGAGCATGTCCTCCTTTGGGGCTTTTTACCTGGGTGGAGCGGTGACCAGAGGAAGCTCCAGCTTCTCTTCCACAAAGTCCTCATCTCCCAGTGCCCCCCAGTCCCTCCACTGATGTCCAGGCTCTCCCGTGGGAGATGCTGGCCCTGATCCTGCTGTACTGAGGAGTCATTAGTCACCCATGTCCCCAGGAAGACAGCCTGAGCCCTTACCCTGTTCCATCCTTCAGCTGGCGGGCAGTCACAATTCTCTGGGAGGAGAAATAAGAAAAGCAGACCCCTGGCATATTCCCTGCCAGTTTGGGCTGGTCCCTGAGGTGCGGGAGCCATGGGTCTGGTGCGACCATAGTCTGGCATGGCTCACCTCCACTTCCTACAGCTGCCCCATCTGGCCAGGCCACTCTAGACTCCCTCACTCTCCTCTCCTCTCATCTCCTCTCCTCTCCTCTCCCTTCCCCTCCGCTCCTCAGGTTTTCATAGCTGCCTCCTCGCTGGTCTCCCTCTCTGCTCCCCATGGGTCTTCCAGTCCACCTTCCACTCTGCAACCACAGCGATCTGCCTGCGGGCAGATCTGCCGATGCCAGTCCCCAGCTCCAGCCCTTCAGCGCTCACTCTTGGAGGGAAGTCCTCTCTCCCCTTTGCAGTCCAAGGCTCTTCTGGTTTGACAACGATGTGATCATTCCCACTGGTTTCCTTTGCGTCCCCTCCTGCTCTCAGGCCACATGGACTTGATTTCCGTCCCATGCAGACGGGAGGGCTTTCCCACCTTGCTTTTGCTCTCAGAGGTCCACTTCCTGAAGCACCCCCTCTCCTTTCTCCACTTGTTCAAATCCTACTCCTCCTCAAGCCCCGTTTAAATGGTGCCTGCCACCCCACGTGCTCAGCGCCCGGAAGTCAGACCTCCCTCCCCTTCCTCCTCGCCTCGGCCTCTCTCTTAGCTGGTCTACCTTGTGATGCAGATATTCTTGAACATGGCTTACCTCCCTGTGGGACAGAAAGAGATTCTGGAAGGCAGAGACCGTGCTGATCTATCTCCAAATCCCAGCCCGGGCTGGGATCAGGGGAGGGCACAGTGGCGTCTGTCAACCATACAAGTGTCTGTGCACATAGCTCACAGGCACACACACCCATCCTCATATATAAGCCACATATAGAGTCAGGTCTCTGCTACAGTAATTCTGTGTGACAAGCCTCCCAAATCTCTGGCTTGTAGCATCTCTTTTTCTTGCTCATGAGGCCGTGGGTTGGCTGGGTGGCTCTGCCTCGGGTGCAGGTCTAGGCGTGGCCTGGGCTCCCAGGGGATTGGCCAGGCCGGGCTCCTAACCGTAGGGTGGCTCCAGACCTGCTTCATGTGCCCACAGTCGGGGACCTAGGCTGAAGGGGCAGCAGCCATCTGGGACAAGCTCTTTTCATGGCAAACTAGCAGGAGCGTGAGTGGACAAGCCAAACAGCAAGGCCACTTAAAGCCGCCACTCACGTCACAGCCACTAATTTCCACTGGTGGAAGCAAGTCTCATGGCCAAACATCCCGGCAGTTGGGCCGCAGGAAGCACCCCGCACCTGCTGTAGAGGGAAGGACTGGGAGGTCACAGGACGGGGCTCTGCTCTGTCACAGGGAGGGAGTGAAGAGCCGGAACTGGTCCAGCCCAGACTCCCAGAATAAAGGCCACATCTGTTGGCGCCCATTCATGGTCCTGTCCTGCTCAGACATACAGACTTGTCCCCATCCTCTCATGAAATATATGACCGAGCGCTGGTGTCTTCTCTCTCTGCGCAGCTGTTTTCTCAGCAGCAAAAAGGGGATTATAATACTTTACTTAGAAGGTTGTGTGAGGTTTAGTAAACTTACAAGTTAAACACTTAAATGATTCTCGATAAAAGTAAGCTTCTGCTATCATTACCGCTGCTACATAGCCGAGCAGCCAGTGATAACACCTGCCCCCCAGACGCCTCCCATCCACAGCCACACCACTGCAGAGTGTGCGTGTGTGTACACACAAGCAAGCGTGCACATACACCAGGGGTTGCAAACTGGCAACCCACTGGCTGCGTCTACCTATAGGGATGTTTTGTTTGACCTCTGTACAATATTTAAAACATTAGGCATTTCACATAGAAATAAACATTGCTTGAGTTATCTTCACAGGTGGTGAATATAGTTGAGGAGGAGATGACATCTCCTGGAAAGAATGGGTGGGGTGAAAAGATGCGGGGGCCCTGGTGGACGCATGAGGAACCCAGCATTTAAGGCTTGGCTGGAAGACTGGGTGGCCGAGATGGAACAGCCATGGAGGCAGGGAGAGAGTGTGTCCCCAGGAGCAGGGAGGGTGGGGGGCACAAGGGCTGCAGGAGCCCCCCAAAGCCTTGTGAATTGGATTAGCAACAAGGAGGCCGCTGGGACTTTGTTGGGGGCAGTTTGGGAGTAGTGGAGGCATATGCAAGATTATAGAGGATTGAGAAGCGAGTGATGGGAGGTGAGGTGGAGAAAGAGAGTGTAGCAGATCCTTGCAAGAAGATTGGCTGGGAAGGGGGAAGAAGAGTTGGCTGGAGGCGGGTGGTGGGGACTGGGATTAAAACAGCATTTGTAAATACTAATGGAAAAGATCCACTAGACAAAGAAGCTAATGACACAGGCAAGAGGAGATAATGACCCTGGGGGCAAGGGAGTTGGCGGGGGGTTGGTAGGGGAGCCAAGTTCCAGTGAGGTGTCAGCCTTAGAAAGGAGAAAGGACGTCTGCCCCCTTGTGACCAGTGAAGGGGTCATCCAGCTAGTTAGTGCCAAGATGGAGCAGGGCTTAGGCTGCCTCTTCTGCTCATACATTCGTTCGTTCATTCATTCATTTATTCAACTAAATCTAGCGAGCATCTACTCTTTAGCAGGCACAATTCCAGCAACAAACGAAACAGACAAAAATCACTGTTTACATTCTAATTATAAGAGAGAGGATGAACACATTTTATTAGAAAATTGTATAGCTTATTAGAAGGCGAGAGAGATGTGCTATGAATAAAAATAAAGGGGAATGGAGAGCGCCGGGGGCTGGGTTGCAGTTTACACAGGATGACCAGGGTAAGCCTCGCCAAGAAGGCGCCATTTGACCAAAGACTTGAAGCTGGTGTGGGAGCGAGCCCTGCCTGAAGCTCTCCTGGGATAGCGTCTCCTAGGAAGAGGCAAGAGCAGCGCAAGGGGCTGCAATGAGGGTGCACCCAGTGCTGGAAGGACAGCAAGAGGTCACATGGTCTGGGGAGAAGAGGCAGCACTTGGAGCTGAGGTCACAGGGCCACTGGGGGATTTTGAGCAGAGGGTGGCGTGGTCTGACTTACAGTTTAACGGAGTCACTCCGGCGGCTGTGTTGAGAATAGACTGACGGGTGGGGCATGGCAAGAGGAAAAGCAGGGAGCCCCGTGGAGGCTGTTTCTATAATCCAGACGAGAGAGGATGATGGCTGGAGGCAGGGTGATGGCAGAGGAGGTGGTGAAAGGTTACTGGAGTCCTGACATATTTTGAAGGTAGAGCCAACAGGATTTGCTAATGGCTCTAGTGAAGGGTGAAAGAACGAGAGAAGTCAAGGATGTCACTAAAGTGTTTGACTTGGGCAGCTGCAAGGCTGAAGGTGGCATTTCCCAAGTTGGGGATGGCTGGGGGAGAGCAGGCGTGGGGAGAGACGGAGAGGAAGACTTCCATTAGGGCGTGAGTTTGATGTGTCTATTAGGTGTCCACATGGAGATGCCAAGTCAGCAGTGTTATAGATACATCCAGATCCAGCAGAAACGTCCAGGCTGGAGATATAAATGTGGGAGTCATCACTGTCTAGGGTTGTTTAAAGCCATGAGACCAGATGAGATCATCAAGGATGTGAGTGTAGTGAGAAGAGAAGAGGTTCAGAGGCTGAGCCCTGGGACCCCCGTGTTAGAGGTCGAGGGAAGAGGTGGAACCAGCGAAAGATACAAAGAGAGGAGGAGGCAGCCAGCGAGGAGGAGGAGGCGCGCTGGCTGTCCTGGAAGCTGAGAGGAGAGCTGTTTCTGGAAGGAGGGAGTGATCGGCTGGGTCAAATGCTGCTGGTGTGTCAAGTAAGATGAGGACTGAAGTTACCACTGGGTTTGGCAACATGTTGGACATTGTCATTTGACAATAGCAGTTCAGGGGCTGGTGGGCCTGGGGTGGGCCCTCTGAACATTTCAGGAGCCTCCTCTGGGATCGAATGGGGTGACGTGAGCATTCCTGCCTACACACCAGAGATGTGCTCTGCGTGCTGGGCTTTCTGGTGGCTGAGAGGTGGGCATCCTGCAATGGCACAGAGGACGAGAAGGTCGGCTTTGGAGTGGTCCAGTAGCCCCCAGGCCTGCTCCCTGCCCCGGCCAGCTGCCCTGCAGGGCCCTTCCTTCCCACCGTCTCTCCAGACTCTCTTCTCTCAGCAGATGAGCCAACCTCGCCCAAGAAGCCCAAGAGCATCCTGGAGCCAGAGCCCGGCCATGTGGAAGGTGGACCCACCTCTCCCCTGCCATCTGAGTGGACCTCAGTGAGGATCAGCCCCGGCGAGAACGTGGTTGGGCAGGACATGATGGCCGTGTGTGTCCTGGTCAACAGTGACGAGAGCAGGTACACTTAGGCTGCTGCAGGAAGGGGGCAGAACCGGGGTTAGATGAGGGGGACAGCATTCAGGAGCTGGTCTTCTCTCCACTCACTTGCAGTGTGGCCTCTCTGTGCCTCTCTTTCCTCATCTGTAAAATGGGGACCATCATAACACCTGTCTCGTAGGGAGTTGCAAGGCTCCATTAATAAATGTGAAGGTGTAGAATGCCGGCATGTAATCAGCACTATTAAGTGTTAGCATTTGCTGTTTTCTCAGAGAAGGGAAAGGCTCTGGTCCCACCGTCTTCTCCCCAGGAGGAAATTGTCATGTAGGCTGTGGTGAGGGGTGCCGAGTGGGTGTCACCTGTCACAGTAAGATGTAAGATGGTGATGCACGATGATGGGGAGGCTAGGCTGGGGATAGGAGTAGGGTGGAGAGGGGACATAAAAATTGAAGCCCTGGTGCCCTAGATGAGCATTTCTCAGACTGCTGTCCTCACCACCCCCATCAGAACCACCCAGATGGTCATTAGGAGTGCAGACTCCAGTTCATTCAGGAGGCCAGTCAACAGTAGGTGCCGATTGCTCGCTGTGTACTAGACTCAGGATACAGCAGTGACCAACACAAGAAAAGGCCTGGCTCTCACAGAGCTTTCATTCAAAGTGAGTAGACAGGGGCCGGCTCGGTGGCGCAGTGGTAAAGTTTGCACGTGCCGGTTCGGCGACCCGGGGTTCGCCGGTTTGGATCCCGGGTGCGGACATGGCACTGCTTGGCACTCCATGCTGTGGTAGGCGTCCCACATACAAAGTAGAGGAAGATGGGCACAGGTGTTAGCTCAGGGCAAGTCTTCCTCAGCAAAAAGAGGAGGATTGCAGCAGATGTTTGCTCAGGGCTAATCTTCCTCCAAAAAAAAAACAAAACAAACAAAGTGGGTAGACAGCCAGCAAACAAGTAAATCGTTAACAGAGAAAATACCACATCTGTGCCAGATAGAGGAGTAATTAGGGGTGTATGATAGCAAATGACTGGTCAGCTACCCGAGGTTGGGTGGCCAGGGAAGGCCTCTCTATCTGTTATCTAGTCTCACAATCATGCTGAGTGACAAACCACCCCAAAGGTGAGTGACTTCTAACGACCACCATTTATGATGCTCATGATCCTGGGGGCAGGGAGTTTGAGCCAGGCTCAGCCGGGCAGTTCTTCTGGTCTCAGCGGGCTCCCTCATGTGTTTGGGACAGCAGGGCCCTGCTTCTAGAGCATGGCTAGCTCTCAGCTGGGGCCATGGGTCTTTCATCCTCCAACAGGCAGCTCGTGCTTGTTCACATGGTCCCGAGAGGCAGCGGGGAATAGCGCAAGGTCTCTCGGGGCCTCGGCTGGGACTGCACAGCACTACTCCTGTCACATGTGATTGGCCATGGCAAGGCCAGCCCCGATTCAAGGTGGGGGAGAAATAGGCTCGACCTTTATGGGAGGAGCTGAAAGGCCCATTGCAAATGGGTGTGGATCCAGGAGGGGAATGGTGGCAAAGAATCTGCCACGGCCTCCCTGAAGAGGTCTCCCTAGTGGGGAGACCTGATGTCTCTGACGTGACAGAAGGTCAGAGCGGCCGGCACACAGTGGGGGAGAGAAGAAGATATTGTGCCAGAAAGCAGGGCAGGAGCAAGGCTTGGTGAGACAGGGCGAAGAGTTCCAACTTCATTCTAGGTATAATTGGAGCCACTAGAGTATTATTAAGTCAGAGAGTGACACCTCACTTACGATTTCCAAAGATCTGCAAGCCTTGGCGTGGAGAATGGATGGGGCAGGGTGGGTGGGAGTGGAGGCAGGGGGGCCAGGTGGGAGCCTGTGGCTCAGGTAGGAGATGAGGAGCCTGCACCAGGGCTGGGAGCAGCAGAGATGGATCTGCCGATGGACTGAATGTGAGCGAAAGACAGGATTCAAGGGCCACTCCCAGATTTTGACTTGAGTGACTGGATGAAAGGTGCAGACACTTCTGGAGTCATCTTGAGGCGGAGAAGATTTCAGGGAAGATGCAGGTTTGTGGAGAAAATGAAGAGTGCTGTTTTGGACCTGAAGGGACCTGTAGGGTTAGATGTCTTGTGCAGGTATCAAGCAAGCAGTAGAATAGGTAAGTCTGACGTTTCTGGGAGGCAGGGCTGGAGGTGGTGATCTGGAGGCCAATGACATACAGAGGCTCTTCAAGCCAAGGGAGCTGATAAGTCACTTCTGGAGCAAGAATATCTTCTTAGAGAGAAAGAAGAGCTGGGCCTGGGCGAGAGCCCCAGGGCATTTGAACAGTCAGTGGGCAAGCAGAGGAGGAGCTAGCGACACCCACTGGAAGGAGAGAAACCAAGAAAGGGTAGGTTGTGGAAGCTGAGATAAGAAAGTATTTTAAGAAGGAAGGTGTGGTTCACTGTGTCAGGTAAGAATGGAGATGCACCCTCGGGATCTTCCAACAGGAGGATCATTGTTAACTTCAACAACCGTAGTCTCAGTGGAGTGATGGGGCAGAAACCTGATCGGAGTAGGTGTGGAGAGAATGTAAGAGGAGAAAAGGGAGACTGCAGTGTAGACAGCCAGTTCATCAGGTCTGGAGCAGGCAGACTCTGGTAATGAGGCCTGGGAGCGCACATTTTAGCAAGTCCCAGGGGCAATTTGGATGCACACAAGCCACTACAGCGGAGTGCGCTTAGCAGTTACTGAGACGGAAACCAGAGCCCAGAGAAGGCAAGGCCCTTGCTCTAGGTCACACAGTATTCTAGGCCTCAGTTAGGCAGGACTGTGTCCATTGTAAGAGGCAGAAACCCAACTCAAACTAGCTTGAGTAGCAAAGGCAAATACAAGGCAAATACATTGGTTTGTCCAACTGGGAAGTCCAAAGTGGTCCTCTCTCCCGGCAAGGTTGGAGCCAGAGACTCAAACAGCTGCTCTCCGTTCCTGCTCCTCTGCCTGTCGGATTTACAACCATCCTCAGAGAGGCTGTCTCCAGGTGTGGGACTCTTGACTACTGAGGGCCTCAGCCCACCTCCACAAATTCATGGCCATATGGCAAGAGCTCAAGGTAGACCTCCAACTGATGCTACTCACTTGCATGCCCACCTCCAGGACTAACTGGTGGACAGGACTGGGATGGCATGATGGGCAGGCTCGGGCACTGTGATGGATGAGGGGCAGCAACCTAGTGGAAAGATGCATGCTGGACTTAGAGAGAGGAAACAGATCTATTCATGAAGCTGTCACCGCCAAACAGGTTTTGCGCTTTCCCACCCCAGGACTGTGCTCGTGCTGTCTCTGCTGCTAGGACTCCCTGCTTCCACTTCTCTGCTACTTGGATTTCTGCCAGTTGTTTAAGGCCCGGGTTAAATACCCTCCTTAGTAGTCTTTGCTCTTCCCATCCATTCCCAGGGGAGGAAAGTGGTATTTAGCTGCCTGAAGTTCTAGGACCAGGTCCCTAATGATGAGATCATTCTACCCCAAGAGCTTAGGAGTCATGGTCAGGGATGGGTGAAGGTGAGGACCAGCCTTCACGTGAGCACTTCACCGTGCGTCCGCTGGCTTCTTTCTCCTGCTCTGATCCACGCCTGTATTCATGTGCTAGGGCTGCCAGAAGGTACCAGAGACCGGGAGGCATAAACAACAGAGGTTTATTTTCTCACAGTTCTGGAGGCTGGAAGTCCGAGATCAAGGTATCAGCAGGGTTGGTTCCTTCTCAGGGCCGTGAGTAAGGATCTGTTCCTGGCCCCTCTCCTTGGCTTGTTGATGGCCATCTTCATGTTCACGTGGCATTTTTCTTCTATGTGTGTCTGTGCTCAAATGTCCTCTTCTGGTAAGGACACCAGTGATGTTGCGTTAGGGCCCACCCTAATGACCTCAGTTTAACTTAACGAACTCTTTAAAGACCCTATCTCTAAATGCAGTCACATTCTGAGGTACTAGGCGTTAGGACTTCATATGAACTTGGAGGGGACACAGTTCCGCCCATAACAAGCCCGCGGCTGGGCACTGGGTGCCGGGATAACTAAACCACTGCCCTTGCCCCAGGACCCCATGGCCTGCTGGAGCAGAGATGGGCAGGGCACAGTGTGGATGTAGGGGGTGAATGGCAGGGCTCCTCGCTCACCTGCTTTCTCCTTCCTTCTTCCAGCTCCGATGCAGAGTCGGACTGTGGAGGCAGTGAGGCCTCCAGAGCAGAGCCCTGTGAGGAGAGACGCTGGCAGCTGGAACCCCGACCCCTACCGAAGCCCCTCACCCAGCACAGCTCCCTGAAGGAGGCCCTGACCAGGGCAGTCTCTCCACACCACCCTGAGGAGCCTGGAGCCGTGCACAGTGAGCAGAGAGCATCTGGGCCCGAGACAGGCTTGCTTAATCCCGGGACATGGGAAGGGAGTAGAGAACCCCACAGCCAGCTTTTCCTCATGGAGGGTCAGGTGACAGTAGGTCTAGTCCTCAGACTCAGAGGCAGTGGGGCTAGGACCGTTGGGGACTGGGGTACAAGTTGAGGTGAGGGGACTGGACCTAGGCTTGGCCCTTTCTATGAGAAGCTTTGGCATCTCAAGTGGGAAGGTGGCAGAGGGGCCTGGCTGGCTGTTTTGTGTCACAGGCAGGCAGAGATAAGAGGGCCCCAGGACCATCTTGCCTGGAGCAATCTCTCCTGTGAATATCTCCTTGGGTGCCCCCTCTGGCATTCCATAGCCCAGGAGGAATGGAAGGCGGGCTCAGCTGCTGTTGGACCACATGTGGCCCCGGGCAGCACAGTTTCCCTGGGGCCACCTGGGCCAGCACAGGGCCATTCCCTGTGCTTAGGGCTGATGGAAACCACTAAAACTACCAACACAATAGTAAATGCACTTTCACTGAGTGCCTGTAACGGCCAGGACTTTTCCACTACGTGGCCCCATTTCATCCTCAGGATGACCCTGAGAGGTAAGTGGCGTGAAGCCCATTTTACAGTTAAGCAAATGAGCTGAGCGCCTTCTGAGGTCTCATAGCTAGTAAGCACTGTGGCCCGGTGCTGAATGCCTTCATGCCCTAAGAAGTAGTTGTCCTTAGCAGCCCAGCTTGTTTTAATACGGGTGGCCATGAATCGAGTGTTTTGATTTAGTCAACAGCCCCTTGTGACCCCTGGCTGGGAAGAAATAGGCTACAGAAACTCTCCACCATCAGGACCAATAGCCTTCGCTGCCCATGAGAGCTGGAGGTCGCCTTGTCCTGCACCGCCCTCTGGTGGCATGGAGCAGAATTTCCACCTGAATGTAGAAACCTCAGGAGTGATGGTTTCTCAGGAAGACCAGGGCTGGGGCCGAATCCTGGAAACTCTGTATTTACCCTCCCATGTGAGCCTTTTTTAAAAAAGACAAATTGTCATCAAAACGTATTTGCTAGGTACCATTTGTGGTGCCGTCCAGAAAGGCTGAGCTCATTGTGCTGTGCTGTGCTGGGCCCAGCTGAGTCCGCCTGCCTCTGTCTGGGTCCTGCTTGGCCTGGGCACCCCACCTCGTCTCCCTGGGCTTCAGCCTCCCCATTTATAAATACGAGGCCTGCCTGCCTTTCATCCCTTTCCTCCATTTCTCCTCTCTCCTCAATTGCCAGGGGATTTTAGGCAACCTACAAGAAAGACAAAACAAAATTGTATGTCTGTGTATGTGTATATATATATATGTGTGTGTGTGTGTGTGTGTGTGTACATATATATATAATAAAGCCTCAAGACTAGGGTTAACCAAACCAGTTCAGGAGGTATAGACTCCAGAGAGGAGGTCCACGGTCCTAAACAGGTGTGCTAGTGGAATCACAGATTTGATTCTGAATTTTCTGGCAGCCAGAGTTAAAAATGAAACAGATTACGATTCTCACTGTTCACGAGGGAAAAATATATGGGTCTGCAACCCAGGTCCCAGAGTAGGTACCACTTTTCCTAATGCTTCATTCTGTAGAAATTTTCCAGCTCGTGTCCAATAGATGATATCGGGAACAACCACTGTGCAGAAAATGCAGCCCTGGTTTTCCTGAGGCTGTTTCGTGCAGCCTCTCTTGCTGGCCAGTGAGGGCATGACAGCAAAACGTGAGCAACGAGAGCTGTTCTCCCCCAAGGATGGGGTTGGGGTGAGAGAAAAAGGCAGTGTGGCCAAAGCATTCTGTTTCTGAGAGTCCAGTTTAGTTCCAGAATAAAATATAGACTAGACAGAGAAGTGGATAGATTGCACGACTTTCAAGCAATCTTCTGTCGATTTTGTCTTCATCCGTCATGGTTTTGGTCATCAGGCAGGCCACACTGCGAGGTTAGAATCTCTGGCCTAGTTGAAGTGTTGTGTTTTGTGTTGATGGTTATGGGGAGTCCATCCCTTCCCCAGATAATGTAGGGTTGACATCATGTTGTGGGTGTTATGGAGCTTGATGAATCACAATTTTCACCTGGATAAATGGCTCAGAGGTGAGCCGAGAGAATGCCAGACGAGACCAGGACATTGCTTTAAAAAGTCTCTGGGTTTGTACACCCATGCTCACAGCTGAATTATTCACAATTGCCAGAGGGAAAAATGACCCAGTTGTCCAGCAATGGGTGAATGGATAAAATCATGGTATATCCACACCATGGAATGTTATTCAGCCTTACAAAGGAATGAAACTCTGACATATGCCACAACATGGATGAGCCTCAAAGTCGTTAAGCTAAGTGAAATAAGCCAGGCACAAAAGCACAAGTATTGTACAATTCCACTTCTCTGAGGCACCTAGAGTTGTCCAAGTCATAGAGACAGAACGTAGAATGTCAGTTGCCAGGGACTGGGGGACGAGGGTGGATGGCGAATTATTGTTTAAGAGGTACAGAGGTTCCGTGTGTGATGAGGAAAAAGTTCTGGAGATGGATGGTGTGATGGTTGCACAACAATGTGAATGTACTTAATGCCACTGAACTCTACACTTAAAAATGATTAAAATGGCAATGTTTATGTTATATACACTTTACCACAATTTCAAAAAAGGCTCTGGGACTTCCATAGCTCCTCCAGGAACCTATCGCCTCCTCGAAGTTCTTTAGCATAGAGCATGCCCGAGATGATGGTCTGAAAGAGAACTGAAGCCCTGTGTCATCGAGGCCACAGAAGATGCTCAGCAATGCTCCACTAAAACACCTTATTCTGTGGTTCTTAAAAAATCTTGTTTAAAAGGCAGATTCCTGGCTTCCCACCCTCAGAGATTCAAGTTGAATGGGTCTAGAGTAGGGCTGAGTGCCTGCATATTATGTGAGCGCCCCAGTGCATCCATGCAGGAGGCCCCATCCTACACTCTGGGAATCACGGAAGAGCAGCTTCCCAGAGGCCTGCCTGGAGGAGTTAGCTGTCAAATGCATGCCCAAGCAACTCAACGAATCGGTCTATTGCACTGGGTTCTTGGACACAATCCAGTTAGAGTTAGGAGGCCAATCTGCCCCCAAATTATTCTGGTTTAGAAAAATTGGTATTTATCCATTTTTTTTCTGGCAATAATTTGATAACGGGATGGTCCAATGGCCTATGGAGGACACTGCTAGTTTGTAACAATAAAACGATATCATCAGCACCCTATGGCACAATACTCACCCTCTTGCTCCTTCTGCTCCATTAAAATAAAAATAAATAAATAAAATAGATACACAATATAAGCTAAAAAGGATGGAACGAGTCCTGCTTTATGCTGCTCATAATTACGGGATGAAATTATTACTACCCACCCTATTGTTCCTATTGTGATAGAAATGTGTGCATGTATGCCCTATAAACACCAGTGATGGAAAATTCTCATGAATTTTAGCCGTTTCTAATAAGTTCCATTCCACAAAGTTAAAAGCTGGAGAGAGGCAATAAGAGCTTTAAGCATTCTTGTATGTTTCTTGAGAAATTTCTCCAGTAGGTGACTAAGAGGTTAGCTGTGGTCAGCAGGATGTGGCTGTGCTGGAGGCCTGCTTTCTCCCTACGCAAAGCATCCAGCCTGGAAATCCCCCACCTGCACTTGGTGGGGGTGGTGGGCCTAAACTGTGGGTAGACGGTTCAGCCTGTGATGGGGAGGTGGGGAGGCTGTGCCCTGCGCCCGTCCCAACCCATGGGCTTGATTATGACAGCAGGCCTGTGGGACGGGAACCCACCAGATAGAGCAGGCTCAGAGTGTCTAGAAATGGAGGGAGGGTGGGAAGGGAGCTAAGGAGCCGAAGACCTTGTCTTGAGGAAAGGAAGCCCCCAGGTAGTGGTTGACACCTGTGCACCCTAGCTGGCTGGTAAGAGCTGACGCCCAGTTCTGAGCACTGTCAGGGGGTAGAATCCAGGACTTTCTACAGAGAGAGAGAGGGCTGGGCCAGACTGAGCCTTGAATTCAGAGAAGCCTGAATTCAAACCTCCCTGCCCCCTTCTTCCTCACCCACATCACTCCCATGGGCTTTCCTTCCTTCGTCGCCTCCTGGTCCCACCTGTGCGAGCATTCAGGTGTGCATCGCCCCCATTCTTTCTCTTGGCTGTGATGGAACCCCCGCAGGGACCTGGAGCCTGAGGCCATACCTGGGGGCCCAGTATGGGAATGGGGTACATTTGCATCCCACTGCACACTCTCATGCCCTAAATGGCCAAGACCCATTTTCTTCTGCATGTGATATTCATTTTGCTTGGCTAATTCTCAAGGCCCAGCTGGGCAGAGGGTCTTCAGTACATAGTCCACACTGACCTGCAAATGTGTTTCCATTGGAACTAGGCTAAGAGGAGGGGTCGTGACAATGGATTGTCCAGAGGTTTAGTTAAAACTGGCTCCCAAAGGGTTTTCAGGGCTCCGAGGGGAAGAGGAGCGAGGGTAGGGCTGTGCGCGGCTTCCGGGCTCCAATGAGAGCAGCTCGGCTTATCTGTTACAAGTGGGAGACACTGATGTGAGTCTTCAGCTTTGAAGAACTGCTCTGCTAAAAACAAACAAGTGTGTGTGCATGCATGCATGTATACGGGCATGTATGTATACATGTATGCATATAAACATGTACGCATATGTATATTTATTAATGATGAGTCAGAATGATGGCTCATAATTTGAGGCATTTTCTGAGAGAGGGCAGCACCTGTCCCATAGCAGGGTCTCAATAATTATTTGATGAATGAATGAATGAATGGAAAGTTAGAGGGGTGTATTGTAGGCACACGGTAGTGTGTGATCATTAGTCTATTACCTTTTGGTAAATGGGCCTTAGGAGAAAACACCCTATTTATTCTACACATTTAACAGACTCCCCCCTCCCCTGCCCTTTTCTTTCTTCCATCACAGCTCTACAAAGGGCCAGTAGCTTCCAGTCCTCAACTCCCAGCAAATCCCAGAGCTGGAGAAGAAAATTCCAGTCGAGTGAGTCATGAGCTCTCTGGGGGTGGGGGTGGGGGTGGGGGTGGGGGTGGGCAGCCACCTCTGGTAAAGCTCAGGGGCAGCTGTTCCGCTTCCTTACGTGTCCCCTCTGACCTGACCTCCTGGGTGTGGGACGCAAGGAAAGAAATACTAGGTTGACTCTGTTTCGGCTGCTGATAGAGGAAGCATTTTCCAAAGGATCCGGGAGCTTCCCCTTCCCCTCAGCTCCCCACTCCTGAGTCACAGATCCTTAGAACTCTACAGCTGCACCTGGCAGAGCCTCCGCAATCATCGGCTCCAAGCTTTTTGAAACACAGATGAGCAAACTGAGGCCCAGGAGCTCTGTATGTTTTCAGTTGGGATGAAGGCATCAGTTTAACGACCTCATGCAATCATGGGCTAAGCGATGAAGGAAGCCAAACGCGTGGGCGCATACACACACTGCCCTGCTCCTTTTTCTGAGCAGGCCTTGGTCCCTGCATCCCAGAGGAGAACAAGGCTGGGTGAGACCCAGGGCCTGCTGCAGATGCCAAGGCAGCCGGCTCCCACTAGGGGGTGCAGTGAGCATGCACGTGGCTACCCAGCGTCCCGGGGCTGGCCACATTCCTGGCTGGGCAGCGGGTACAGGGCGGGGATTCCCTCCCTGATCCTGAGAGAGGGGTATGGACTCGTCATGGGATTCCAAGTCCATTGCTGCCTTCCACCTCCCCCTGCCCCAACACTCCCTCTCTGGGCCTTGCTCTAGGAGAGGTGGACCCAGGAAAGCCTTGGGTTAGACAAGGGTTTCTAAAAAGAGCCATTGTTGCAGTTGGAACAGAGCACTCCTTTGATTGACTGCTTCCTTCTGAGTCAACGCTGACTCCTGGCCAGTGAGTCATTCTCCTGGCAACCCCCAGACGTGAGGCCCCGCCTCACTCGGGTCAGGCTGGGACAATGGGCACCTCTGAGCTGGACCAGGGCTGCACACCTGGGCAGGCCACTTCACCTGGGGACAGCCTGAAATGACTCTTGAATCATCTTGCAGCCCCAGGCAGTGAGAGCCAGGGGAAGGAGGGAATTAGCATTTACCAAAGGTCTGGGCCAGGCCTTTTCCACGTGTCAGTCATCTTGTCGTCTCATTCACTCCCCTGCTTCAACCTCTCCACAGGGGACAGGAATTCCACTTCTTGGGTGGGTCTGTCTGGGTGCAGAGTCCATCCAGTGCTTCCAGCCAGCCTTACCAAGTGCCACCAGTACGTGGGGCTCAGCCTTGCCCTCAAGAAGCTCCCAGTCTGGGGTGAGAGCAGGATGTCTGGCCAGGGACCCTCACAGCAGGGTCGGGGATGCTGGAGGAGGCTCAGGAGAGAGGAGACTGCTAACAGGCAGCATGGTTTCTGGGACCCCGGCTGTGTCTTTAGCTATCCCAGGAGTAGCAGGTGTTGGTTCTCACGCATATCTAAAAGCTGGTCTGAGGGCAGACCTTGAGTTCAAATCATTTCTATGGGCCTAGTGCCTAGCATGGGCCCGGCCCAGAGGAGGCACCCAGTCCTTGCTCGCTTGCCAAATGAATGAACGAACAAACCAACAGACCAAGGAAGAAGCCGACGGGACGGAGTGCAGGAAAAAATGGAATGCACAGGTCAGGCCTGCGCAGGCTGCCGCCTCTAGAGAGCGCTCCAAGACCTTGGGAGGATTTCAGGCCTACCTGAGCTCCAAATTCTGGAAAGCAGTTCCCCGGAATCCCAGTCTTTGTGAAAACCCCCAGAGCTGAAATCCACCAGAGCCATCTTTTCGGTCATCTTCATTTTGCCCAAAAGGAAACCCCAACGGGCAAGGCTGGTCCTGCAGTGGGGAGCAGAATATGGGGCACCATCTCCTCTGTCCATTCACGGCCCCATCAAGGCTGGTTCTGGCCCCAGTGCCAGGTGAGAGGGCAGAGGGGGCTATGTAACTGCCATCGGCACCCTCCCCAGCTGACCATGCTCACTGGAATGACCTCTAGGATCATGGGGAAAGGTCACCGTTGCCAGAGGGCTCAGAGACGAGGCCCCTGACTCAGGTGGGATGTGGTGCAGCGGTCCAGGCCTTGGTCTGCTCATCAACCCTCTTTGCACAAAGGGGCCCAAAGGGACAGGGCGCTTAGGACCCAGGCCCCTGCAGAGGGCAGGGCAGCCCTGGCTGGGCCATGTCAAGGTAGTAAGGAAAACAAGAAAGGACCAACAGAGCGGGATCTGAGTTGGTGAATGAGTCATCCCTGGGCCCACGAGTTAGAGAAATCCTGGCTAGGCTGGGTGTGCAGCCCCCTCTGGAACGGGTCAGCAGTTCAGCAGTGCCTTCAGTGGACACCATTTGTGTGCTTGGGAGGATACGAAGGGGAAAGGAATTAATTTTTATTTAGCCCATAGCATTTACATTGCGGCCTGCCCAGGCACCTCTCTTTATCCCACTTTATTGCTTGGCCCTCCCCTGAAGCAGCACTAGATTTCCCATTTTCTGGCTGAGGAAACTGAGGGGTTAGGTCAGTTGCTCCGTGTGGGGCAGCTGCTGTGGGTGTGCAGGAGGTGGGGTTCCAGGCTGCCCTTACCATCCCCTGAGGGAACCCAAAGACATCAGCGGCCACAGGCAGATGAGCTTTCCCGTCATCTCAGCTCGGCTCAGGCCTCAACCTCCCCTTCCGGGCAGCACCCCCTCCTCGCAGTGGCTTGACTGGCAGGTGTTTTGTCTCCCACATCTCCTCACACCCTCCCCGAGTTCTCCTGAAGACCGCGGGTGAGGAACAGAGACCCCGCTAACTGGGGATGGGGGGGCTAGAGAAAAAAGAGAGGGAGCAGCTCCCGGGTCATGACCTTGTGAAGCCCAAGGCTTTCCTGTCAGCCTTGTCCCTGGCTCAGTGTCAGAAGGTTCCCGGAGGGCTCCTCGGGGGAACAGAAAAGCAGTCTGTTGAGCGGAGGGGACTCTGAGACAAGTTGAGGAGTTTGACTCCGGAGGTGGCAGAGAGAGGAGAGTGAGGGGGCTGGCGAGGAAGAGGAGGAGAAGGAATTTGGCAGGAATTTGGCAAGCCCAGGACAGGAAGCAAGGCAACGACTGACTCACAACTTTTGCCTTTTTAGGCTCGAACCATCTAATTGTGGGCTGAGATGGGGGTTTGGGTGACAGGCGGGCCGGCCAGCCACATCCCCCACATCAACTCCTGGCAGCCAGTGGCCTTTCTTCTCAGCAGCTCCTTCCTGCCACCCTCGGATCTGTTCCCCTGAGTTACCTTTTCCCTCTGAAGCATTTGAGGGCTTCCTCGGGGAGCTCACCAGCCATATGTGTCATCTTTCATGGTGGCCATCTCTTCAGAGCCCAGGACTGGGATACACTCTCTGACATGCTTGTCTTTGTGTAGGAGGAAAGCGGGACAGAATACTGATCCCCCTGTGTAAAGGGGTCTCGAAGGAACTCTTCTGGGGGTGGGGCTTGTGTTTGGCCTGGCCTGGGTGGGTCCCTGAGGAGGAGCCTCTCACTCAAAGCTTTGGGGAAACTGAGGCCAGAGGAATGTGTTAAGACACGAGCTGAAATCCGAAGGCTGGACACCTTGGAGGGAAATCAGAATGGGTCGGCTGAGCGGCCGGAAGCAGGGGTCAGGGAGTCAGACAGGAGCCGGTGGTTAGACAGTGGTCCTGGGCAGGGTCTGGGGAACAGCCTCTGTGTGCTGGGAGGGATCCCGGGAGAGCCAGCTGGGCTGAAGGGTCACACACGGAATGGGCAAGTCGGAAAGGGAGCATGGCGTTTTCTGAATCCCTTTGTGGATAGATTGTCTGAAATGGTCCAATATGAAGCAAAATGCCTGCGATTTTAGATTTCAGGTTCCTGGGGGTGTCTGTGTGCTCATGCGTGTGCACATGCGTGCACTCGTGAGAGACAGAAGGAGATTGCTCTCCCAGCTACCACCATCAGCATTCCACTGTAGCTACTAACTGATTTCAGCGCCCACCGCTCAAACTCAGGCTCGTCCTCTGAGCCCCGGCCACACTCCTTTCCCATGTCACTCTGAGCACATACACTGCATGTCGTTTATTCCCTGACCAACAGGAGCTTGGCACAGACCCCACTCCATATGCTTCAAGTGCCTCGATACTCATCATAACCTCCTCCCCTGTAAAACCTCAACCAGCCCATCTTGTCTGAGAGCCCCGTAGCGCACAGGTGAGAAGGAAGAGTCGCTTCATTGGTGGTGACTGCTTGTCCTGTCCACACCCGCCACTAAGGGTCCGCATCTTGTGGGCAGAGGCCTCAGAAGCTTGATGGACTGGGTGATTTAATGTGGCCCCAGACCCCAACCACGATGGCTTTAGGGGACACGTTAGAGGGAGAAGTCCATTTCTAATAAACGCCCTGGAGGTTCTCTGTTGCGTCTCTCAGGAAACTTCTCATATGAGTGTGAAACACAAGGGCTCTCAGACTTTTCAGCCCAGGACCTCCTTTCCCCCAGGAGCCCGCCACTCCCAATACCCGTTCCCACTGGGGCCCTTGAATCAGTTTCCGACACCTTCCTCCCCCTGCCTTTGGTTTTAGAGTTGGAGCTTCACTGAAAACCTCCCCTTTTCATGATAAACTAAGGTAATAATAGGTTTGTAATGGAGAACATGTTCTTTCCGTGGTAGGTTTGACTCCAGTGAACAACAAAAGAACTACGTCGCCTCCAAAGGAATCTCCTCCTTCTCTGTTTTCTTCCTCGTTGTCTTCTCCTTCGTCTTCCCTGCCATCTTCTTCAGCCGTCATCCCAGGGAATGCTCAAGACTGTTCCCCCCCATCTCAGGTGAGTGCCCCTCAGGGCCCTGGGCAGGTGTTAGGAAGGTGGGCTTCCTGTCCTCCGCCCACTTCCACACGGAACTCTGGTTCTTAGCACTCTTAGGTCACCCCAAGTGCAAAGCTGGGGCAGAGAGATGCTCTGTCAAGAGTCCAGCACGGACCTTCTTCATGTGTCCTTTTCGTGAAAGCTCATCCTGCTGCCTCTCAGCCACCCCTGAGGCCCCAGCCACTCGCTTCCTCCCTCCCTCACCAAACTTTATGGGGTACAGACTCTGGGCAGGACTGTGGGGTACAGAGGTGCTAGGACATGTGCTCTGCCCTTAAGGACCTCACGGAGGGCGTTGAGGAGCTGCAGCCGAAGGAGGGCAGGCCCAGAACTCAGAGTGCCTTTGGTGGCAGCTGAGAGCCTTGGAAGCACAGCCCCCTTGAATAGAACATGGCGTCAGGAGATCTGCCGGGTTGGACTGTTGCCTTCAGAATGAGTTGATCAAGCCTCTGTTACCTGCCAGGCCCTGTTCTAGGCCCTGGCAAGTAGAGTGCACAAGACAGAAAAGTGCTCGCTCCCATGAAGCTGCCACCCATGACTTGCCCTTGGGCTCCCAAGCCCTCTGCAGGGCACAGCCGCTCCTTCTAGAGTCCACTCACTTCTTCCTTTGCCAAGGGCTGACTTCCTGCATGCTAGAAATGGCTACTTTCTCAACGGTGTGAGGCATGAGTCAGGTTTAGAAGGGTCGTTGGAATGTCCTAAAAGCCATCCTTCTGCCACCACAGCTCCAGCCCAGAAAGGTAACTGTCTCTCCTTACCTTAACAGTCTCCAAGGAAGAAGCCTTGGTTTCTTAGTTGTTGGAGAAACATACCTGTGGGTAGAATGTACCCATTACTAGGGACGATGGCTGAGCCAGCCACAGGGGACCTGTCCTTCCCACGTGCCTGGCCACCCACAGGGCCAGGACAGCCCTGCCTCACTGGCCTCAGGCCTTGTAAATTCCTTTGCCTTCTCTTCTGGCTTCCTACCCACCTAATCCAGGACCCAGAAAAGCCTATGATCAGTGGTAACATGGGGGCTCCGGACAGATCCCAGCAGGTCCCAAGGCGGCCACTTAGAATGGACAGCAACCCTCTAAAATCATCCTGTGCAGAATTCTTGACTTTCAGTACCCAGATCTGGAGAGAGAAAGGGAGAGGGATGTGGGCTCCGATTTGCCCTCCCCATATAAATAAATGCTGAGAATTTCTAAATCACTGCTGTTTTTTGCCCATCCCTTCCAGGGGACACCTCACAACTGGCTCCCACAGGTCTCGAGAGGTCATTTCAGTCCTTCCACCCCAATCTTTCTGAGGCGAGCCAGAGCCCAAGGAGCGCTCACAGAAATTCCCCTCTATCTGCCTCGTGGCCAAGTGCTGGAGCGGGCAGAATACTGCTTGGTGAGCCCTAGTGGAAACGGCCCCCTGAGTACCCCGCCACCCAGCCCTACAGAGATGGCTTCTGATGGATATCAGGAAGCAGAGGCCCCTCTTGAGGACTCCAGAAGCATCCACAGAGGCTTACACCCCATTGGACGGAAAGACTGGTACTTTCCAGACCAAGAGCTGCCTCCCCCAGCTGGAGAGGACGCAGGAGAAGGGCATACCAGACCCAGGAGGGGAGATGATGGTGGGTCGGAGCCTGCAGAGGGGAAGAAATTGGGCTTAAAGAAGTTGGTGCTCACTCAGGAGCAGAAGACCAGCTTGCTGGATTGGAATGTCTCCATCCCTCAGAGCTTGCGCCTGGAAGAGGGGGCACGACCTCCCCAGAAAAGTGCTGAGAATGGTAGAGGAAGCTGTGTGCCGAAACCAGTCTGCCCCTTGCTGCCCCCTCGGGCAGGGAGAGAGACCCTGCCAGCCCAGAGAGAGACTCAGAAGACGGGAACCCCAGCTGAACGGACTCCAAGGGAGCGAAGTGTGTCCCCACCCAAGTCCCCACTGCGGCTCATAGCAAATGCCATCCGAAGGTCCCTGGGGCCCCTCCTCCCCAACTCTGAAGGTGGGAAGAAGGCGTGGGCCAAGCCAGAATCAAAGACTTTGCCTACCAGCCAGCCGTACACCTCCACTCGCTCGTTCAGCCTTCGGAAAACCAGCTCCAGTAAAGACGGGGACCAGCAGTCCCCCAGGAGAGACATGGCGAGCAGGGCCTCAGCCTTCTTCTCCATGGGCAGCCCGACTGCCAGGGCTGCCCAGCCCTTGGACTCTAGCCCTCCTGACCCTGCCCTCTGCACCCATCCTTTGCCCAACCGGGCATCCACGATGTTTCCTGCACTCGTGTCCCCACCCTGCAGCAAGATTGAAGACGTCCCCACACTCCTTGAGAAAGTGAGTTTGCAAGAGACCTTCCCAGATCCTTCTAGGGTTCCAAAGAGAAAAACCTCACTCTTTTCCTCCCTCAGACTCAAAGACAAATCTTTTGAGAGTTTCCTCCAGGAATCCAGACAAAGAAAGGACCTTGGGAATGTCTTTATCAGCCCCCAGAGCAAGGTGCTGCCCGTGGACAGTGCCCAGCCCCTGGAGAAGCTGGTGCAGCCTTACAGTAGCGCCGGGCTGGGCCAGAGGGGCCATCCTCCTCCTCCAGGTGGAGACGCAAGTAAGTGGCTCTTTCCTGACAAAAGTCTACAGTTCATGCTGGCCGGTTAGTTAGCCTTACTGGATTAACAAGCAAGCCCCTTTCACTTCATTTTCCTTCTCAAATTAAATTCTGACAAAAGTAGGAAAACTTGAAAAAATCTGAAAAAATTAAATTTGAAATTATATTATAGAAGTTTTGAAAGAGACCAAGAATCAACCATAATTCCACCACTTTCCCTCTCATTCTCTGTATGAATATTTTTTACTAAGTTGTATGTAAAATTTGGTATCTTTTTTTAGTCAACATTATATCATAAATATTAAGCTAGTTATCTCATAGTCTACAAAACTGTGATTTCATGGCTGTGGAATATTCTATGTAGTGGGTATGTTATCACTTAATGAACTATTTCTTATAGATATGTGTGTATACGTAAATGACATATACAAATATATTTATATTTTATATAGGGTACTGATGAACAATTTTATGCATATAGCTTTTTCTTTCCTTTAGAATTATCTTTTTTTAGGATAGGTTCCAAGAAATGAGGTTAGTGGGTGAAAAAATGTGAATATTTTTAAGATTCTTAACTTATACTGACAAATTGCTTTTTAAAAGAGAACAGTATGGGCAGAGGATACAGGGACTGTTATTTCTTATAACTACATGTTGTAAATTTCAATCAAAGCAAAGGAAGGGTACCCATTTATACTCTACCACTAATGTATGAGAGTCCCTTTTTCACCATTGTCACTTGCATTGAGTATTTTCTGAATGTTTCTATATTGCTAGTCAAAAAATGACGCCTTATATTTTTTTATTACTAGCTTAAATATATTTATATGTATTTGGTTACCAATGGAACCTTAGACTTTTTAATATTTAAATCTGATTATAATTTTTTAAATTATGAAATTAATGAATACATCAAAGAATCAGAATAAATCAGCAATACAGAAAAACCTGAAAAAACATGTATAAATTCTCTCACCCCCTCCTCCGCACCAAAGTTTTGGGACATGTCCTTAGTTAAACGCTCCTGTGATTTCTTTTTTGTTGTTGGCATTCGTTTGATTGCTTTAAACAAACTGCAGTTCTGCTATTCCTATGGTTGTGCAACTTTTTCTTGGTTTTTTAAACTTTTTATTTCCTTATTTAACTTTTATTTTGAAACTTTAGTTTTCAAGTAAAAAATTACTTCTCTCCTTTGGTGCCTTAATCGAAAAGCTATGTATATTAACATGAGACTTTGTTTCAGCCAAGTTCAGGATAAGCCTGGACAGGCTGGAGCATAACTGTGCCCTTTATAGCACATTGTAGACTTTAATGTGTTGTGCATTTTTTGATAATACATTCACATGGTTCAAAATAAAAGGGTACAAAAGGCACAAAATGAGTAGTCCTATCTCCCTTCTCTGTCCCTGAGCCATCAGGTCCTAACCCTGGTGACAGATATTATTGTCTGCTTCTTAGGCGTTCTTCCAGACAACATTTATGCATATAAGAGCAAATTTGCATATTGTATTCTTTCCTTCTTTTTTACGCAATTGGAGCGTGCTAGCAGATCGCATGCACTTTTTGTTGTCCTTTTACTTTTGTTTAGGAGATCGTTCTGTATCAGCACATAAAGAGCGGCCCGTTTTGTTTCACAGCTGCACCACAATTGACGTGGCCTGTCCCCTTGGATGGAAAGTTTACTTCAAGTCTCTTGCTGGTGCAAACAGTGCTGCCATAATTAGCTGAGGATGTAGGCCGTTGGGTTTATGTGTGAATTTATCTGTAGGATAAATTCCTAGAAGGGAAATGCAGGAACAACGGACATAGGAATTGTGAATTTTGATAGATATTGCCAAATTGTCCTCCATCAAAGTGATGGCGGTTCCTACTCCCAGGAGCAAAGCGCGAGTGCTCTTTCTGTGCCTGCCTAACCAGTGTGTTACCCCACTTTTTTTTAATCTTTACCAATCTGATAGGTGATTGAGCATCTTTTTAGATATTAAAGAGTCACGTGTATTTGCTTTCTGTGGACTGTTGTTTCTGTCCTTTATCTAGCTTTCTGTTAGGTTGTTGGTATTTTGTTAATGATACATAGGGACTCTATTAAAAGGGAAACGAAGCCCTTTTTTGGTGGTATGAATTACAAATACTTTTCCCAGTTTCTTGTTTGTCTTTAACTTTGTTAAACTTTGTTTATGGTGGTTTTTGTCAGATAAAATTTTCGTTTTTATACTGTAGTCGTAAGCAATTTTTATTTTGCAGCTTCCAGGCTTTGTATTGTATATACGAATTCAGAAAGCGCTTCTTCCAAGTTTACAGAAGAATTTTCTTAGTTTCTTTTAGTCCCTTGTTTGTTTTTGAGTTTTTTACATTTAAATATTTACATCAAGAAATTATCCGAGTAGAAATGTGAGATATGGATCCAACTTCTTTTCGTTTAACAAGTCTCCCTGGTTATCCTACAATAATGTAGTGAATAATCCATCTTTCTCCTCTCTTATGTGAAATGACGTCTTTTATCGTATATCGCATTCATGTACTTGGACTGATTTCCATACCATCTATTATATCCTATTGAGTTCTCTGTTATATCTCAGTACCATGCTGTTTTAATTATTTTGCTTTATGTATTTATATCTTTTAAAATTTATATATTTTACTATCTGTAGGACAATTATTCCATTTTTGATCGTCTCTTTCGAAAATTTTCTGGCTCTTTCTGCTTTTTTGATATTCTATGTGAACTTAGCATTAACTTGACTATGTACAGAAAAAATCCTGTGAGCACTTAATAAGTTTACAAACTAACTTGGCAAGAATTGACAACCTTATGCTATGAATTGCCTTTCCATTTGCTTTAATCTTTTTTCGTGAGCCTCTGGAATATTCTCAACTTTACATCATATAGGGCTTGCATGTTTATTGTTTATTAATAGGTATGTTAGATTTTGTTGCTGTTGTAAATAAGATCTTTTTCATTTTATCTTCCCACTGTTGTTTGTGTATGAAATTTATTGATTTCTATAGTAGTTTTGCACCTATCCATTTTACTGAATTTTCTTTGCTTGTAAAAGCTTTTCAATGGTTTCTCCTGGGTCCTCCCTAAATATACAATCATAACATCTGCAAATAATGACAATTTTCTCTCTTTTTTTAAGCTATGTACCTCTAATTATATGTTTTATTGGTTTCTTTGTATTTCAAAATCTCCAGAACAATATTAAATAAAAGTAGTGATAATGATTTTCTCATTACATTCCTAACCTTAATGAGAATGCATCTTATTAAGGAGAATAATGTTTTCCCACTTAAGCATGATGCTGGCTTCTGGGTTGACCCAGATATGTTTAATCATTTTAAGGAAATAGACATCTAGTCCTATTTTATTAAAAGTATTTTTAATCATGAATGGATATTGAATTTTATCAAACATCATTTCAGCACCTTTGAGATGATTGTATGATTTTTTCTCCTTAGTTTGATTAATATTATAAATTATATAATAGGTTTACTGATATCAAACCATCCTTGTATTGCTGAAATAAATACCACTAGGTTGTGATGTCTTATTATTTTTATATACTTTTCTGCTCTGTTGGCTAATATTTAAGATTTTTGCATCAAATTCATAGGTAAGATTGGCCTTTAGTTCATATATATCACATTTATTTGACTTCTGTATGTGCTGATTACAATAAGTTAGGGTAAACATGTCTTCCTGATTTTCTTATCATGGACAGCTGCATTCCTCTATGTTCGTTAGGAAATGGTGCAACTTCTTTGGCTTGGAATAGAATGGGAGTGTAGATAATGGAATTAGGTTAAGGCTGACCAGCTCTGGAAATACAGTAGTGCCCCCTTATCTGTGGGGCGTGTGTTCCAAGACCACCAGTGGGTGCCTGAAACCGTGCATAGTACCAAACCCTATAATACCATTTTTTTCTATACATACATACCTATGATAAAGTTTCATTTATAAATTAGGCACAGCAAGAGATTAACAACAATAACTAAAAATAGAACAATTATAACAGTATACTATAATAAAAGTTATGTGAATGTGATCTTTCTCTCAAAATATCTTATTGTACTGTCCTCCCCCTTGTTGTGATGATGTGAGATGATTCATTGCCTACATGATGAGATGAAGTGAAATGAATGAGGTAGACATTGTGATGTAACATTAGGCTACTGTCGACCTTCTGACAGTACGCCAGAAGGAGGATCATGGAGCCATGACAATGTTGATGGTTGGATGTTAGGAGCAGACAGTGTTTGTGGTTAGGGATCCAACAGAGGAATGATTCATGTCCCAAGGGGGACAGAGTGGGACGGCATGAGATTTCATACCACTACTCAGAACAGGGTGCAATTTAAAACTCATGAACTTTCTGTTTCTGGAATTTTCCATTTAATATTTTTGGACTTCACCTGACTACGGGTAACCAAAACCATGGAAAGGAAAACTGCAACTAAGGGGGCACTGCTGTGGTGCGTGGGCCATCTCAGAGAAGAGCACTGTGTTGCCCTCAGGTGTTCTCAGGTCAGCTTCCTAAGGATGTAAAGGTTTTACCTACTTTATCAGATTAGGCCTGTTCGTTTCCTTTTATTTCCCTGCCTCTGCCCAGCCCACAGAACACACACACACAAACACACACACGCACACACTGACAACTGCTCTCTCCACATTTAACATGTGAGTGCACACTTCCATGCAATAGAGAGAGAAAACAGTATTCAGATTGAAAGTGACAAACTTTCAAAACTTATTCAAATGGAAATAACCTGGAGTTTATGATCACTTGAATAAGAGCAGGCTGAAATTTAATTTTTCTTATGGTTACAACACAACTTTCCAGGTAAATTAATAGTGTATATAAACTTCTCAGAGTTTGAGTTACTTAGGGGCATAAACTAATTTCAAGCACTTACCAGTGCCCATTTCATACAAATAAAATTTTAATGCTAATTATTATTCTTGTGTATAATTAAACAAGGCACCCTGAGAACCTCTTTTT